TTTGCTGTTTTGTCTCCTAAACCACTGATCCGATCCTCTGCTTCATCTAATCTACTGTTGATTCTTTCGAGTGTGTTCTTCATTTTAGTTATTGTATTCTTTAGTTCTAACTGGTTGTTTTTTATGATTTCTGTATCCTTCTTTATGTTCTCCCTAAGTTCCTTAAACATTCTCATCATCAGTGTTCTAAACTCTGTCTCCGAAAGGTTGGATACCTCTGTTTCATTTAGTTCCATTTCTTGATGTTTCTTCTGATCTTTTACTTGGGACATGTTTCTTTGTTTCTTCATTCTGGTTGTCACTCTGATTGCTTTGATGTATTAGATCACCAGCGAGTGAGTCGGTTTGCCGGCTGCACTGGTTCTCCAGCTGTCCTCAGCCTCACTGAATTGAGCAGAGAGAGTCCTCACTATTTTCTACTTCCAGCTATCATAGAACTCCTCTTCCTGGCAAAGTAACTCTGGTCTGGTGAGCGTGGCATGGGGCCGGAGGGTGTCTCCCCCAACCAGAGAAGCCTCTCCACTGCTGAGGTGTCACTCACAGGGTTTGCCCTCTCTCTTCTCCGCCCCTCCTACCAGACTCGACATGGCCTCCTCTGTAAGTCCTTCGTTTAGAGATTCTGTTCATCTAGTGTCCAGGGAACTTCTGAGGTTGAATATCTTATTATTTGTAATTTTGGTGTGATCCTGGGAGGCAGTCAGCACAGCGTCTGTCTATTCCGACATCTTACCGGAAGTACTTGTCGAGTGGTGTTATTTTTATTCCCATTTTATAGATGAGAAGACACAGTGTAGAGATAAAGCACACGAATGTTTAAGTCATTTACGCAAGTCACTCAACTAGCAGGGGTATGTGTGTGGGGGTGGGAACCCCAGGCAGGCTGGAGAGCCCACACTCCAAATACTGCACAATTCTGGGTAGTCTGGAGGTGTTCATTCTGTCTAGCATTATGAAAAGAATTAGAATTAGATGGATGCATTGAGCTCAGTGGCTCTTGGTCAAACTGTTTGTTTGCCTCAAACTTTTGAGAGAGAGGATGATATTTTCCAGAACGTTCTCACAGCTGTGCCACAAACATTACATGTTCCCAAGAAATTGACCATTCAGCCTCATGCTTCAAGGATGCCATATGTTATACTTGTTAAAAGCTGTCACTCCTCTGTGGTTAGATGATGTTCAAGTATTTGGGAGTAGAAGGTGATACAGTGAAAATCATGGAGACACTGGGAAGTTAGCAGTGCTGTGGAGAAATATCAAAAGATTGACTTAGTTGGAGTTTATTTTTGAAAAATGGCACTGCGTTTAAAAAAGAAAACCTGGAGGGTTTCAGTGGAAATAATTTGTCAGTATTTAATATTCATGTGTAACTATATTTTCATTCATTCATTCCTTCTTAACTTCATTGACAGACTTTATTGTTTGTTCTGTATAGGCCTTGGACTAGGTGCTAAGGAAGCACCTCCAACAAGGGCCTTACCGTTAGAGAGCAGTAAAGTATAAAAGAAAAGGCAGTGACAGGCATGTAAGCATTTCAGTTCCCTGAAGGTTTTGAGGCAGGTATGTTATGAGAGACCATGGGGGAATGGAAAGAAGAATTGGTCATATCTGCCCAGCTGGCGGTGGGGGAGGAGGAGTGAGACAGGAGGTGACCTTTGAATTGAGACCTTGAAGATGCAGAGGTGCTCACTAGGTAGACAAGTTAGGGTCAGAGCATCCCAGGCAGAGAAGAGCTTGAGTAAGACAAGGGTTAACAAAAGTTTCAGCCATCCTATTGGTGTTTGTCCATTGTAAGATACACATATTTTCAAATCAGAACATCTCTGAAATGTCAACACCGTGCATTAATTTAACTGACTGTTTATGTTTTTGCTGATACATAAAGTAATGGCTTACACAATGTATGGCATCTGAGATTTGATGAAAGAATGGATTAATATTCTTTGCCACCAATTAGTATTTCTTGGGTGTGCTGTTCCAGCTACTCATATGTCTTTGTTGTAGAGGTAGATATTAATACCTTTTTACTGAGGAGGAAAGAGGCATGACATGACAGAGTTACTTAGATGAGCATCTGGCATTGAATTTGACAGAATACCTGACATCCGATGTTGCTTTTAATAGTAGTGGCTGGTAGGGATGGGACCTGAGGAGAGAATTCGAGTGTCTTTTATATTGAACTAGGCTATGAACCATTAGACTGCCTATATCTGAAGTAAAGGGATTTGGAAAGCAAATGGAAAGTAGCTTGTTGGAATTCATAAAGATACTAAGTTTGTGATCATTGTGTAAAAATGTACCCACTACTCTTGATGAGATGAAACCCTGATGGTACAGTGTTATATGAGTTGTGAACACAGACTGACTATCTATAACTGATCTTTCAAGGCAGAAAAGAATGCATCAGCTATAAGCTGCAGTGGCAGAGGTAGAAGGAAGACTCTGGTTTGTGTATCTAAAAAAAAAAATGAGAGAAATTTCTGTTAATGATCTTGGAAAGTATCCAAGGAACAAATGAACCATCCAACACCTAAACTTAAGCACCCAAGTGCCATGAAAATACATGCCAGTGGAATCTGTTTCTGCTCTGTTAGTAAATCCCTGTGTGGCCTTGGGCAAGTCAATTGGGACTTGGGTTTTCATTTCCCAGAGGGCTGGACCAGAGCAGGCTTTCTGGCAGCTAAAGACACCAGGACTCTCCCAGCATTTTTGAGATTTGGTTTCATTGATGAGAGCATAGTGATTGCTCTCTAAGGTCTTGTGGATCCTTCAGTTTTCTGGGCTCTTGGAAGGGAATTTTACAAAAGATGACAGTCATTTTTTTAGCTATTGATTTAATTTTTGGAAATACAAAATAGGAAATTATGTTCTCTAAGGCTAAGGAAAGTTACAGCGGTGCTTTTCCATCTACTTTGATCCCAAATATATCAGTGAGAAAGATGGGGAATTTGGTGAGAAAAATTTAGAGCCTAATTTGTTTAAAAACTGAGATCATACTTATTTTCGTTTGTTTGAAATTGGAACAGAGTGTGCAGTCTGAGACTTGACCAGGTAGTTTACAAAAAAAATGCTTGAAAAAGTACATCCATGTAAAAAGAATGTCTAGAATGATTCAACCGTTATTATTATTTTTTTGTGAGTCATGGCAGCGTTTGCCTTTCTTCTCTTTGCTTTTCACTTTTCCCTAACAACACAGATTCTTGTGGCTTTTTCCCCCCTCCCCCCTTTGGGTATGTACCAAGTTTTACTACATTTGAAGATTGTTACTAATGAAATAAAAAACCTATGTCGAATTTGGTTACCATGCTTCTTTTATAAGTATAATGAGTGTTTTGTTTATGGCTCTCTCAACCAGATTTTTTTAAAATTGGGTGTATGTCTAATGACAATGTATTGGGATGAAGAGGAGAAATCAAGATTGCAGAGACACAGCCAGACTATAACCTTTTAAAGAGCCTTTTTGGAAGGCCAGAATTGGAATGAAGTAAACCAGTTAAACAAGTTTTCTTTTTTTTTCCCCCACCCCCCCAACAGTGTCAACTTTCCTTGCTGGGTGATTCAAGATATTAGCTATTCTAGAAAAAACTTGGTTTGATATAAGTAAGCCCATCTACTTACCACCTTAACCCTTTAGGTAAGGAGATGGTAAAATATGATTCTTAATATAACTTGGCACTTCTACATAAAAGGAGCAAAATATAAGCACATTTTTGTATAAGTGGTGTTGCAGATGGGTTTCTATTGTAGCATTATGGCTTTTTCATTGGAATTAGAGGAAGCTATTTGGTATCACCAATACTGAAAAAAAAAAAAAGATCCATGGACTGTCTGTAAAGATAGGTCCTATAAAAGTGTGCACATGTGTGTTTTTTACTGATTTCTGATGTAAGGGACATGAAAGCTAACCTGATTCATTTGTTTTTAGGGGCTCTTGGCTTTGGGCCTCAGTGCAAGTCCATTGGAAAAGGCAGCTGCAACAATCTAGTGGTCACCAGCAGCCCCATGATGGTTCAGCGACTGGGACCCATTTCACCTCCAGCAAGCCAGGTCTCTACAGCATGCAACCAGATCAGTCCTAGCTTACAGAGGGCAATGAATGCAGCCAACCTGAATATACCTCCTTCAGATACCAGGTCTCAAGTTACTTTTTTTTCCCCTTCTTATGGTATAATCACACCCCATGAGTGTTTTCTCTTCCCTTCCTGATCTCACACACACACACACACACACACACACACACACACACACACACACTCAAGCAACTCTTTCAATTTGAGTTTTGTAGGGGAACGTGTATAAAAACTAACTTTGTGCCATCATATCATCTTAATTGGGAGGAATGGTCAGTACCTGCTGTCTTATGGTATGAGGGAAATTAATGACCAGCTTGAGATTTGGGGCCTCAGTTACTAAAGCCCAGTGTGTAAATTTGTCAATTCCTAGTGAAGCAAGTCATGTGTCATGGCCTAGACAACTGAGATGTTCCGTGTGCATCTATCTTACCTGCTCATTTTTCAGTGGATATGTTGCAATGTCCCCAGGCTGCTTTACAACTATTTTGTCTGTCCATGTATTCCCCCATCCACCTATCTCCCCAAGTACCTATTAAGTACCTACTGTCTGCATAAAGTAATGGTTGAAGTTTAGGGGGATAATAGAAAAAAGAAAGACAGAAAACATGAATTTCAAGACTTTATGTCTCTGGGAAGACATACTTTCCTGTGTGAGTCCCATAACATTTCAACACAGTATCTAATTAGGTGCCGGAGTAAGTAGGTGCAATACATGCTGTGTATCTCTCCATGGGAGAGAACTGAATAGGAAAGGGAAACCACCCCCTTACACAAATGTCTCTCAGGATTGATATTATAGGGGACATAAACCCAAAGTACTCTGCAGTGTACAAGGTTATTTCTATGTTTGAAATGAATTATTTAATCTTCTAGAAGTTGCATTGTTGGAGAAACACAATGTAAAGTTTTTGCCTTAGTCCTGGCTCTGCTGTAACTGATTGTGCAAAGGAATTAGGCTCTCTGGACCTCTGCTTCCTCTTCTTTAGGGTGCGGGTGGGGCGGGGGGTGGCTGGAATCCACTGAGATGCCTTGCAGTTCTGAGATCCTGTTTCTTCTTTTTCTCCTTCCTCCTTCTTTTCCTTCTATCCCTCTTTCCCCCTCTCGTATCTATGCATTGTCCTCCTAGCTGTTAGGTGAGACTCTGAAATCATAGTTCGTGGATCCTTCTTTTTAATGCCAGTTTTTTCATGATATGGAAACTTGTTTTTTACCTGAGATTTTTTGTGATGGGAATCTGCTGCTGTCATTTCCCCATTGATGATTATGCCTTGAGGGACTCCTCAGACTTGCTGAAAGTTGCATGTAAAATTAACTGTACTCCTGGGGTAGGTGTCATTGGGAAGCCTTCAGCTTCCTGTCGGTGGCAAGTCCAGCCCATGCCTCGGAGGCAGAGTCATAATTAATGGAGAAAGTGATGGTAGGCAGGGCTTTGGCTGCTCCAGCAATGTACCTAATGCAGTTCCTTTCATGGGTTGGTCATTATCTAGGTGTCTTCTGGCATATTTGATTCCTTAGCATAATTTTATAACCTTAAAAGACAACATCTTAAAGATGTACTGACATAATGTTTTGGACTATGCATTATGTGAGTCCTCCTATGGAAATAATTTCTTTGCAGATGGGCAAAGGAACAGGAAGTGGGAAGTGGCTTGGTGAAGTATGGAACGTTTAGCAATTTGGAAAGGTCACGCTTACTGTGATCCCGGGTTGGTGTGTTCTATCAGAGGAGAGAAAGGATAGGAAGCAACAGTTCAGCTTGAAGGCCTTTGCTGTCTAGGAATAAAGATAGAATCAGCTTTGTGTTTTATCCATCGGGATGGACAAGGGGGTGGGTGGGGGGAGCATGAACTGTTCAGTCTCAATAATGGCCACCCTATAGAAAGCTGTAAAATTAATATTCTTTCTTCTTGATTGTCGTGTGATTCTTACTCATTGTAGAAAATGTGGAAAATATGGAAAAGCACAAGGCAGTCATCCTGAATCCTACCACCCACAGGCAACCATGGCTGGAATTTTGATGTACATCCATCTAGTAATATATAAACACATATATCATAAGCATAGGTTTTCTTTTGTATGAAATTGGTCTAATAATCTACATAGTTATAATTACCTTTTTCAGTTAATATCAACTGTTTTGTAATGAAAGCACCATATAATGGCTTCTAACCCAAGATTCCATTTTATTTTAAAAGTATATAAATAAAATTTTAATTTTTTAATCAGCCTTTTATTCCTGGGCATTTAGTTTCCCTTTGTTTTGATATTATAGGTAATACTTTATTGAATAATCCTGTAAATAGTTTGAGGCATATATCTGGTTATTAGAACATATTCTTAGAAGTAAAATTTGCTGAGTTAAAGGAAGTGTAGTTTTGAGGCTTTTCATATACTATAGTCTCAAACTGCATTACAGAAAACACTTAGCCACTTAGAAACACCAATAATCTTATAGTTTCTGTTTTCCCTTATCTTTTCAAATATTAACAATTACTATTTGTATTTCTTCTGCCAATATAATGTGCAAAATGTTATTTTATCTTAATTTGCATCTCTTAATTATTGATAACTGAGTAGTTTTTATAGATTTGCTGACTATATTTCTTCTTTTAATCTTTGAGTAATTCTTTTTCTGGAGTGCTCATCTTGAAAAAGCACTCTTCCGTAGCTTTTTTGGGTTCTGTTTAATCCCATGGTGCAAATCATGCCCTAATGCTGTATACTTGCCTTTATTAATTTCCCAACCATTTCTGACTAGCCCTCCTGAATGAGAAATGCAAACTATACCTTAACCATTCTGAAGATCCAGGAGCCATTCTTGATTTAGGTTTTGCAAATACTCTGTAATACAGAGATCATCATATATATTTTCTGTAAAGTAACAAGACTGAAGTGCTGATATGATAACCTCATACAGTGGCTTATATACAAATCTAGCAAAAATTGGGCATAAAAGAGATTGGATGCTATTTGCATGGGTTTTGTATATGTTTAGTTTTTCTAGTACTTTCACATGCATTGTAATTCTACATTTTATGATTGAATATTCATAAAGTACATGTAAGTATTATCCCTATATTATAGATGATGGACCTAAGACACTGAAAGTCTAAATGCTTTACCTAGTGTCACTTAGCTTGTCAGTTACAAAGTTCAACCATCAGTCTAATAATGTCATTCCAGATCCAAAAGGCACCACATTTTTCTCTCCTAAACCAGAAATTATTGAGGTGATTTTTGGGAATGGAATTTCTTAGGGTTTCCTTTTGGGTTGGAGTGTGTCCACAGAGCTCAGAAAAGGCCAAGAAGACTGGGAATGGACTCTGGATTCTCTGTTAAGTTATAACATTTTATAAAGCCATCCAGTGTTCAGATGCAGTGCTAATTCTTCCAGGGTATTTGTCCAGGCACATAGACAAGAGCTTTCATATAGACTAGCCCATATAGGCTAGGGTATACATATACATATACATACACATATACATGTATGTACCTATATACTGTGGGTGCCAAAAAAATGTATACACATTTTAAGAGAGGTTATCTATGTATTACTTTTCGAAGTTGAATTGAATTACGGTAGGAATGTGTAGTATTCACTCAAAAGATGGCATTAATCAAATGAATGCTAGTGTCACCATGTAACAGGCAGGACAGTCAGAAAATGGCAGAAGCACAGTTGTCATTTGAGGAGCGCAAGACTATTTTGAAGTGGTATTTGAAATTCAAGAACATTGTGGAAGTACAGCGACAGTGGAGGCATGATTCTGCAACAGAACCTCCAACACATCTAACAGTTGCTCTCATCCGTGATAAGTTTGAGACCCATGGTACTGTGTGTGAGGTGCACAAGGGAAGATCCAGGAGGCCTCGCACAGCAACAAGTCCTGCTTCTTCTGCTATGGATTTGGAACAGTTTACACGCTCACCACAGAAGTGCACCACTTTGAGCGCCTCTTGTAATTGCAGAAGTCAAATGTGACTTGTATTCATCTTTTGTTATCGGTATACATTGAGTATTACAATTTTAATAGTTTTTCCTTTCTTAAAATGTGTATACATTTTTTTGGCACCCTCTGTGTATGTATAATTATTTCTCTGTCTCTCATCAGTTTGAGGAATTCCATACGATCTGTAAGCTGGTATTTCTTTTGAACTTGGTGTTGAATCAAACAATTCAACTTATTCATAACTCCCCTTATGGCCCCATGAGGGTTATTACTGAGTTCTTGCTTCACAAGCTACCCTAACGTGTTCATTGATAGTTTCTGAGTTTTTCACATTGGTTTTCTTTTATTTGAGCTGTATCTCTTTCCTTTCACCTATAGCTCCAAATTAACCATAATTAATTTGGACTGGCAAATTAACCAGTCACCAGAAATAATATCTTCAGGATTAGATGAACATATGGAAATAGAGATTGCTCTCAGTATGGTGATAGAACACAGCTCTGTCATTTTCTTTCCCATAGGCCTGGTGTACGTAGAAGTGGGCATTATGGGAGAGGGTCCTTTGGAACCTTTCAGTAATTCAACATATCGTTGCAGAAAGAGAGCAGAAAATGTGGGTTCCAATCATAGCTTGTATGACTTTAAGCCTGTTATACCAGGTCCTTTAATCTAGCAGAGCATTATGGACTAGATACATGTAAGATATGATGTGGGGAAAACAAAAGAGGGTGTATGTGATCCAGCTGGGTGACTGCCTATAAGGAATTTGGTCCTTAAATAGAGGTTATTTTAAAAATCCAGTTTACTTACCTCACAGGCTGTATCAAATGAAATAATGTATAGAGAAAATGCTCTGTGAACTATAAATGATGGTTACTTATCATTATATTGATTATTCACCTTTTTTTTAAAAATTGGGGAACAGTGTGTTTTTCCAGGACCCATCAGCTCCAAGTCCAGTAGTTGTTTCTCAATCTAGTTGTGCAGGGCGTTTTTCCAGGACCCATCAGCTCCACATCAAGTAGTTGTTTCTCAATCTAGTTGTGGAGGGTGTTTTTCCAGGACCCATTAGCTCCAAGTCAAGTAGTTGTTTCAATCTAGTTGTGGAGGGCGTTTTTCCAGGACCCATCACTTTCTTAATCAACAAGTTTTGAACACTTGTTATATAGCTAACACTTTGGTGGGTACTCGGGGAGATAAAAATGATCCCTTCTGTTGAAGGCCTTTGAATTGTTTTGAGGAACATGATTTTATTGAGGAAGTCAGCTATGTTTAAGGTACAGTACAGATAGTATATAACTTCTTCAGAAAGAAAACTCTTATTGAAAGCTAGTGTATTTGGGGGAGGTTTCATGAATTAGAACTTTGAAAGATTCAAAGGTCTGGGTAATTGCACAAGCGGGAATAGGGCTGCTAGGCAAAGGCCATTTGTGCGAAGTTTTGTTCTTATTCCATGTTTGAAATAGAAAAGAGAGTTCTTTGTGTGTATTATTGCCTTAGTGAATAGAATACAGACTTTGCTTTCTAAAAATATATATGATAACTGTCCTAGAAAGCTGAGAAGCCTAAGGAGTTAAGAAGCATGCCTACATGGGTTTATGTTCAGATTTAAATTGAGACATAGTTAGATATAATTGAGAAAAATAAGCAACGTTTCTCAACAATGAAATAAATAAATGTGTCTCACTGTAGGCTGCCCTGAAACCAAAAAACATATTACATATATTATATAAAGTACATAGAGGTGGATAAAATGCTTTCTGCCTGCTATTCGCTGCTTAAAAATCTGAAATGCTCCAGTGTGACAGTGACCAAGCAATGTACTATTTGAGAATGTTCTATAAACTTTCTCAACCTCAGGGTATAAAGCATAGTCAGTTGTCTTTGCCTCCTATATGACAGAACTACTGATTTGGCTCGGGTCAGAAAGTAATACTTGGATCTTCTTGGGGAAGGGACCAAAATGCCCCTGACATCCAATCACCAGGAACCTTCAGCTGAGCACTGCAGGGAGCGCTGCATGCTGCACGTGTGCTGGGAAAATAATTGAAAGTGTCCACGGGGAATTAAAAAACAGATGGTTCAGAAACCAGTGTGGAGCTTGCAAAAGGACTTCAGCCTGAATATAAGGATGTAGACCAAGAGAAAAAAAAATCTGTGTCAAGGGCAACTGGACGCAAGTTCCTGCTGTGTTTGTCATTGGGAAACATGACTTCACTCGCTAGAAACATCACATCGATAATGGTATTATCTATCACCTTATACTGTGCCTTTTGGAGCTGAGATATTTTCTGGCCAATATCTCATGTTTGTAGGAAACAGTGTTCCTGACTTCCATTTTGTAAAAAGAAGTAAAAGGAGCAGATGGGATGAGAATGTGTCTCTTTTCCCTCAGTTTCTTTGCAACAGGTTGCTATTTACCAGCTAGACGTAGTAAATGGGTTTGTTCTGGGAAGACAGACATGTGATATAATATTTCGTTTTCATTAATATTTTTGTCAGAAAAAACTCTCTCTGTAGAAAGCCAATGCAGGTACATATAAATAAGCCAGGTTTTTCTGATATACCCCATGTCTCAGTGGAGAAATACAGTGAGTTATGTCTAGCCTTTGTGACAAATTTTTCATCCAAGGGACATAACTTTTCTCTTCAGTGATTTTTAAGGCAATGATTTCACAGTAAAGCCAAATGAATTTTAAAGTGGCCGGACTACATTACAACCCATTTTGATATGTAGGTAAATATTACAACATGTGAGGCATGTTTTGCAAAGGGTGAGAAGAACAGGAGAGGAATTGTTGCAAAGTGAACTACTAAAAACCAGTGATCTACTCTTGGCCCAAAGCTGCTCTAATTTAAGGACAAGAGGCCATGGAAAACCCAAAACTAGCAAGTGTGATTAAACCCTACACAGCCCATATGTATAAGTCCAAATATGACTTGATTTCAGGTTGTTACTCCCTTATATATATAATAGCTATATTTCATATTTTTTTTTCATTTCCTGGGATGATTTGATAGCATTGCTATCTTTTTCTTAAAAACCAAAAAACTTAAAAATTCCTTAATATCAGTGAAATTAAATTGTGAAATTATTATGTCTTCTGGATGACGCTTTGACTCTGAGGATTTACTTTTTTTCGAATCAAGCATGGGTTTATGTTTTAACTCACCAAATCGGTTTTACTGAAAGACTGAGACTGTGTTTTAGACTTGTATTCCCTTCAATGCCTATTTGTAATTTCTGCACACAGTAGGTGCTTAATAAATATTTGCTTATTTGGTTTGCCATGACACACATCAATAATTATTCCCAGGTCTCTAAATTTTCTCCCTACATTAATTTTTAAAAAAAAAATACAGCAAAGACTACTTATTATCATTAAAGTATTAAGATTATTTATGACAATAGATCTTTTGTTTTATTATTCCAGTGAGCATTTGCCTTTATTGTTCTTGGTAAAATGTTATTTACCTGGAACTAAAAGCCTTAGTGTTATCTTAGCCAAAGAATGTGTGTTTAGCAGAGAATGTAATTAGGGGAAATACTTAAGAGATTGTCAATGCAATGTTCTTTTAGCTCTTAAGCAATCCATATCCTGCTAAAATGTTTGTCTTTTTTTTTTTTCCCCTCCCCTTCTGGCTGCTGTTCCAGGTCCCTTATTTCACGTGAGTCTTTGGCGTCTACGACTTTGAGTCTGACAGAAAGTCAGTCGGCTTTGAGTGTGAAGCAAGAGTGGTCTCACGGCTACAGGGCACTGCCATCACTCTCCTCCAACCACGGCTCTCAGAATGGCATTGATCTAGGAGACCTGCTTAGCCTCCCTCCTGGGACAGCCATGTCCAGCGGCAGTGTCTCTAACTCGTTGCCACCCTATCTTTTCAGCATGGAAAATAGCCACTCTCCTTACCCTAGTCCCCGACACTCTTCGGCCAGATCCCACTCAGCCCGCTCCAAGAAGAGAGCGCTGTCCTTGTCCCCGCTGTCCGATGGCATTGGGATAGACTTCAATACCATCATCCGCACCTCTCCCACGTCCCTGGTCGCCTACATCAACGGGTCCAGGGCCTCCCCGGCCAACATGTCCCCACAGCCGGAAGTCTATGGACATTTCCTGGGCGTGCGCGGTAGCTGCATTCCCCAGCCGTGTTCGGGGGCCGGCAGCCAGATGGGTGTGCGCGTGGCCAGCGGTGGCTTGGCGCTCCCGGCCTACAGCGAGGACAGCTCCCTGGAGTACGAGCGCATGCAGCAGCTGGAGCACGGCGCCCTCCAGCCCGGCATGGTCAACAACATGGTGGTGCAGCACGGCCTGCCCGGCCCTGACGGCCAGTCCGCCGGCCTGCTGAAGACCGAGCGCCTGGATGATTTCTCCAGCAGCGCCCTCGACCTGACCCCCGCGCCTCCTCTGCCACCACCGCCCCAAGGCCCCCCGCCTCCCTACCATGCCCACCCGCACCTGCACCACCAAGAGCTCGTCCCGCATGCCCAGACGCTGGCCCTGCCCCAGGCCACCCTGGAGGACGATGGGGAGATGGACGATGTTGGGGGCAAGCACTGCTGTCGCTGGATCGACTGCAGTGCCTTGTATGACCAGCAGGAGGAACTTGTGCGGCACATCGAGAAGGTTCACATTGACCAGCGCAAAGGTGAAGACTTCACATGCTTCTGGGCGGGGTGCCCTCGAAGGTACAAGCCATTCAATGCCCGCTATAAACTGCTGATTCACATGCGAGTCCACTCCGGAGAGAAGCCGAACAAGTGTACGGTGAGTTTTCCACGGCCCATGGGGGCCCATTGAAAGCGCACGTGGCTTTTTAAAACTTGGCCCACAAGTCGGACATTTTCTTCTTTTATGGATTTTGGATGTGTGGGGGGCCAGGTATCCATGATATTTGACCCCTCTTTAGTCTGACGAAGGGGAAGGTTTCTTTAATTATTAAATGCTGGGTTATCTCTCTACTTCTTGATTCTTTTCTGCAAATGTACAGGATCGATCACCTCAGGGTAGGTTGATCTGCCAGTGTCCAAAATCTCAGAAAACAGATGCCCGCCAGGCACCAACCTAAAGTTGCTGAAATGTGCGGAGCAGAGGAGTACACACTGCAGCCCCAGCAAGCTTTATGTCTTTTCCAAAGCAAATACTTGGTGATTTTGCCTTCTCTCTAATAACTGGGCTAGTATTGGGGTTGGGGGAGGGGTGGTTCTGATATTTGGAAAGGCACTCACACTTAGCAGCTTGGCTGGTGAAAACGCTGCTGCATGCACCCTCACGCCTGCACACTGCATACTCCAGCGTTAATGATTTATAGGCAGCATAAAAACACCCAGGGGGATGCACAGGAGCTGAATCTCACAGAATCTCACCGTAGTTTAAGGAGAGAGAGTTTTGTGGAAAGGTACAGGAGAAAGAACCAAGAGGGGAATGTGCCTTTTGTGTTGAAGGAAGTGGGCATGGTGCCGCTTTCACCCCCACATGCCCCTTTCCCAACACTGATCCTGGACCTATCTCTGTTTCTTGGCAAAATGGACTGTTTTCTAACAATATGACTCTTAAATGATTTCACAGTCTTTTCACACCTAACAGAAACCCGCAGGGTTTACAAGCAAGACATCACCCTGGGGATCACAGGGCAACTTTGCACAATCTCAGACAGCTCACTTTCAACTCTTGGAAAAAGAAGAACATGCGTTTTAGATTAGCTTAGATGGACAGGGCTTTTTTCTTTAGTTAAAATCTGAGAATTGTAGGTACTTTCTGGATATGGAATATGCTACAGGTCACTAAATGTGTGATATATATAAATCATTTTGAAAAGCAACTTATTTATATGGTGGTCCCCCAGACAGAGTTCATTCTTTCTATAGAATGTCTTAATGATAAAGAACCTGCACCATATTTATGTTTGAGTGTAGGTTGGCCAAGTTGTCTGATTCATGTAAAAGCAAACCAAACAGATGATAGCTGTCATGCAAGCATTAGAGGCACGTTTTCACTGTCCAGTAGGTATTTTTGAAAGAGCTTTAAGAATTCCTGGTGGAATGAAATTGCATTTCTTGTCATTACATTGTGCCCCATGTTGTGATTTTTCTTAAGGAAAACCTGAAGCTGATTCATTGTGAGAATACCAGGTTATATGAGCGAGCAGAATAATGACATTCCAGGTGGCAAAACCTTCCTCTGTCAGTAGGGTTCTGCATTAAAAATGCCAGAAAGAGACAAGCAATTGAAGGCAATTTCATTTACTTTGTTTGGAACACACCAGCCTATTGCAAGCAGGAAAGACATTCAGTCTCTGAACGAAAACAGTCCAACCTTTTAGTTATGACTAATCCTGGCTGAAAATAGTTTGCTGGATTTGGCCTTACTGAAAAAAAAAAACCCATAAAAGCTTGAATTATCCAAAAAAATATTTTTTGCATTGCAAAATAAATTTTTGTGCAGTAGGATTTCCCCATTTTCCCACTGTTCTTAGACTTTGCAAAGGCATAGAACAAGTTGACTTTTGCTAAAGTACATGATGACTATTAAAAATAAAAATGCTTCAGTGAAAGAATAAGCTGAGAGGAGAATGTTTGCAGGCCTCTGCAGCGCTTTCCATTGTATTGCTTACGATGGATAAGGGAGGTAATTTTTCTTCTCCCCTAGTCTGCCTACTCCCCCTACTTCTAAAGGGAATCTTTGCAAAATTCAGATTGCCGGATTTAATTCCATATCAAATTTAGAACCAAAAAGCATTTACTTACACATGTGATAGTGCAAGTGTATTTATACAAAACAAGGTTTCTTAGGAGCTGACTAATGCTGCAGTTCTAGTCTTGGGACTATGTATTTTTAGCAGGAAGACATCCATTTTCATATAACACGTATATATCATGAGCATTATGTCTTCTGAAAACTGTTTTGTTGCTACATGTCATTTGCTTGATTTGTAGGGCTATAGCTAACTGGCAACAAAAAAATTTTACTGTGAACATTAGCAGTCTTCTCAAGTCATAGTTCATGGATAGAAGATATTGTGCTTAATGCGAATGCACGTCTGAAAAAGATGCATTTGTCTGCCTTTTGCAAAACCAACCTTTACGCTCTTGGAATCCAGACATGAAGAACTGTTAAAACTGAAATGTTCCATCTCCTCCTGCCTTGAAATCTGACAGTCGGTAGTTGATTCAAAGCTCAAGATCTTGCCAAGTGAAATGACCACATTCCCCTTTTGGAGACATGAAGTGATCTTTGGGTTTTTGTGGCTGTGTCACATGCTGCAAAGGCTAGGAGCTGTTTAAATTATAAGGCCCAATCCACTTTTGTTTTACGTAAGTTTAACTGCTATTAATTTTCTGTGGACCATAGTTAGTGTTAGTCATCATTTTCACTCACTTCGTTTATTGACCCAAGAAAGCTGTGATGACCCAATTGTGTTTGGTGACCATGACTACAAGCAGCACAATGAGCTTCTGGAAGTCATGGTGAAAGAAGGGTGTGTGAAAGGGCTACTCAGTGACAGCCTGTTTACAGTAAGAGGCTACCACGGGTGTCCCCCCTTGACGCCAAATTCCATTTCATGCTTGGGAGAACACATTCTCAGAATCTCTGACTCTTAACTCCTCGGCCTTACCCAGAACTCTGGGATTCAGATCACTCAAGATTCTAGATGGCAGAACTGGGGAGGATTGGTCATTTATTATTTGGTTAACTTACTGGAAGAAGAGAATGGTTTCTTCTCTCTTTCCCACCCAAACAATTCCACCCCTCTGTTGATCTCATACTTATTGCTTCTGTGGAAAACCAAACCAGCTGCTCTCTTTCCAGGCTTGACCTTGATCACAGACATAACTCCCAGCCAATGGCAAAGGCCCTGGGAAGTAAAGGCCTTGTCAGGCAGACAGGCAGACCTCTGTTAAATCAGAAACTGAGATATGGCAATATTATATTAAAAATATCTGAGTCCATTTACTGAGATCTACTAATTTCTCAGTGCCAAATCATTCTACTTAAACCTTCCTGAACTTAGACAAACCCCAACATTGATGACTCTCAGAATTAACAACTTTTGAGCATTTCCGGGCATAACTGTGCTGAATTCTGTTATGTTTTTCTGAGATGATAAGATTTCAAATTCCCAAGTCAGAACAATCATGGAGTCTCTGAATTTCTTTCCCCAACCCCTGTTTCATCTTCCTAAAAGGCAACATAGAATGTAATCCCAAACTATAGGTGTACACTAACCATCCCTAATGGTATCCTGTAATGGTTCTAACAGAGCTCATGTAGAGAATGTTCTTACTGTAGGTCTCTTTCTCTTTTTTTTTTTTTAATTAAATTTACTGGGGTGACAGTGGTTAGTAAAATGATATAGGTTTCAACTGTACAATTGTTAATACATCATCTATATATCACATTGTGTGCTCACCACCCAGAGTCGGTTCTTCTTCCATCATTGTATATTTGACCCCCTTTACCTTCTACCACCCTACCTCCCCCTTTACTCTCTGGTAAACACTAAACTGTTGTCTCTGTCTATGAGGTTTTGTTTCTTTGTTTGTTTGTCTTGTTCCTTTGTTGCTGTCTTATATCCCATATATGAGTGAAGTCATATGGTTCTCAACTTTTTCTGTCTGACTTATTTCATTTAGCATTTGCTATTAAGTTGAAGAGTGTGCAATGCCTGGGTAGCATTCCCAGGAAGGTGTGTTCTGAATGAGCTCAAGCATGCTCAGTCTGCCAGTACCTCTCATGAGAAAGCCTAGCTGATTGGAGCAGAGTGAGCAGAGGTACAGGGCTCTGTTGCCAGGATCAGAAACCCTGATGGTTTGCCTTCATGCACAATAGAAAGCAGTTGTGCTAGGAGGTTAGGGAGTGTTAATAAGGGAATTAGGGAGAATGTGGGTCGCCACTTAAATTTTGCTTATTTTTCCTGGATGAATTTTATCCAATAGCGAAAAGGAATTTTGCAAAACTTTTACCCACCCACAGATTTTCACGAAAATGTCACTGACCAAAGACAGCTTTGAATTTTGTATGAATTGACTCATTTCTCCACAGGCATTTTGCCTGGCAAAATCCAGAGTATTTGCTTTGGCTTGAATACTGGGCAGTTTGCTTTTTAAGTAACATTGGATTATGAGTACAAGAAAATAAATACAGAACTGGGGCCATGTCCCCATTCCTCTTTAATGGCCTGATTTATGGGTTCATGGGCTAGCATTAGCCATGAAAGACATTTCTTGAGGAAGAGTAAAATCAGTATAAACTGTGGAAGATTTTTTTCCACATCCTTTATATTATTATTTTGATAAGACTTGGCATTGATGCGGTAACCACAATTATATGACCAGGAGAGACGTTAGGAAAACACCATCTGAGCATAACTATTAGTTACCACTCCATAGCCTTCATATTGGCAGCAGTTATTAAGTTCTCCTAATGTCAAGTATTGATGAGGGTATACAGATTGGGAAATGCTTTAATATTGCTGGTGAGAGTTAATTGGTGTGACTACTTTGGAAAAAAACTGATAATACAAATATCTAGTAAAGATGAAGATGAGCATATCCAACAGAACCATGTCGTGAGTGTCTACTCTACCTAGAGAAACTTAAATATGGTGGCAAGGACACCCACAGAAAGGTATTTATTGCACCTCTGCTTTTAAAACATGTAAATAACCTAAGTGTTCACAGATAAGGTAAATCAATAAACTGTAATTTATTCCTAACGATATAATACAAAGGAGTTTAAAATTAATGAGTTAGAGATAAATCTCTATA